TAGAAGAGATAATAACGGGACCAAAGTGCATACATTCTTTTTAGAATTTAACCGTTAAATAAATTTCGACGAGTTTTAGACACTAATGAACTAGATTAAACAAAATATAGGTTTAAATTGACTGTCTGACTAACACTGACTACTTCAGCCATGTTTCCCCTATTTTAAGCACTTTCACTGACTTGTGTGTGACCGTATTGATTTCAGCTTTAAATATTAGTCCAATGTTGAGTTGGAGTTGAGTTTGTACATTTGAATTGATCCATTCTTTGATTTAAAAAACAGAAGGAAACGAGTACATTTGAAGGATGAGACTTTAAATGTACTTGTTGTTCCTTCAATTCAAATGTACAAAACGAATGTCTCAAGATTGGACTCACACATCCTATTCTGAGGAATAATTAGCTGTAACTACGAATAAGATAATTACTTTTTCATTCTCTTGATCTTTTGGGATGTTGAATGTTAATTACGAAGCCATTTTGAGTATAAAGCAGTAGCGCAAGCACTACTAAAATTATTTAATTTTTCTATTTATCTCCTTACTTTTTCTTGTTTATCTAAAGATATCTAGTAATATGAGTCATCACTAGTTTCTAGTTGGAAACTAGTAAAAACCCATATTGATAGATGTACGAGTACTAGTGATATTAGAGCAGTTAATATTATTTAACGGGAATTAACGCGATCTCTTATTTAGGGTATTACATACCTCTGGTTTGCCTGACGTTTCGACCAGGTTGCACCGGCCGTGGTCACAGGCTGACCACGGCCGGTGCAATGTACGGTGGTATGTAATACCCTAAATAAGAGATCGCGTTAATTCCCGTTAAATAATATTAATTATCATGGAACGCGAAAGTTTAAAAGTTAGTATTAGAGCAGTTGTTTCAATATAATACTGTTTTAACGTGTCGGTTTTTAACGGACTTGCCGAGTGTATTACTCGGTTTTCTGTTGATCACTATTGATGCGGCAAACAGAGACGGATTAAGAATACGGAATGTCACCACCCCTATTCATCCCGTGGGTGTCGTAAGAGCCGACTAAACAACAACAGAAAACTACGCAGGACAGTAACAGCACTGCAAAAAGAAGGAAAACTTGACATAAACCCTATACCAACCCGTCTGGCCAGTGTGGTATAGTAGGCCAAAACCTCTTTTCTAAGGAGAGGCCTATGTCCAGCAGTGGACTATTATAGGTTGTTGATGATGATGATGACAGAGATATCGTCAATAGGAGCGTTTACTAAAATAAGTTTAGTGAAAGGACGTTCACGAAAACACCTAGTGACATATTTCATGAAAAAATATTTGCGTATCCAGGTCAATGCAACATTAAAACACTTCTAAAACGTTCTGACGATGCAAGTATGTATTAACTATTTCTATAGAAAATATTGAATAGTAAAAATATACAATACCTGATCATAACACTAAGTGTGTTTCTTATATTATTTTATCTTATTATCTACCCACGAAGCAAGTATTACAGTCAGTCAGCGGAAACTGCGTAAACGCACTGTTGATTTTACTGAAAGCATCACTTCAGTCTGAATAACATGTAGGATGTACTCTCAAGTTTTACATCAGAAATAAAATGACTTCAGTGAATCGTATGTGAAAATGTAAGGATTTGGACGATATGGTTTTGACGATATGCTTTTGATGTTTCCGTTCTACCTTAATACATTCGTGTCGACATTAAATATAAAGAAAGAGCTTTGTGTACTCTCTGTGGGATAAACTCAAGATGATTTTTTCGTTGAAGAAAGACGAAGACTACTTTGATTATATAACTATAACTATAACTATAACTATGTGACGATGCTGGATGGTGTAGTGGTTTGTGTAACGGACTGTTGTTCCAAAGGTTCGATTCCCGCTCAAGTCAAACATTTGTGTGCCTGAACATCTAATTTTTAATTTGGTCTGGGTATTTCTATGTATAATAGGTATGTATTTACAAAAATAAAGTATATAAGTATTTATATCAGTTGACTAACATCCATAGTACAAGTTCTGCTTAGTTTGGGACTAGATGGCGTTGTGTGAATGTGGTAGAATATTATTATTTATTTATTAGCTTCTCAGAAACATGAAATTAAACAACAGAACATACTAAAAAAACAGATGTAATCTAATTTGAAAACCGTTCTTCATACAAAAATTATGATAACTACATTTAAATTTTTATTAAATGTTTGAGACAAAGAAGATCCACCTCATTCAAAACCGATGATTAACTGCCAGACTCCCTGGCCTGGAGTCAACTGGTGTGGCTGCTCGTTCCGATATGCAGGATATGACGAGCTTGCAAGAAAGAATGTAAATCCCAACCAACACATTAACATGACGACTAAGACCACATTTCATACCTAGCACCGGTAAAGTGATAAGTTAAGGGGATTACCATACGCTAAACACAACTTGGACCCCAGGTCTACTAATTCTTAATAATTTTTGTTTTTTGCCTGTATAATTTGTAGTCTGATTGTCATTGACGTAACTTACGTTGATTAAAATAGTCAATATTTTGTAATAACAACGAGAGGTTATACCTTTTTGCTTTGTTCGTTGTAGACTAACTCAATAATTTGCAAATGAAATACAAAAGGAAAAAATAACGTAATCCCGTGATTGGACATTTCACGCGCTCCAAATATCGTGGCAAATCAAGAAAAATTGCAACAGAGTAAATTTAATGCTAGGTACCTCAGGATTGTGACACACGAATAACTCCATTGGTCATTTTCATCACTTACTCCATAATTTACTCAGGTGGTCACTTAAAACCGAGGTACCTACGTTTTAACTCATGTAAATATAGACATGTTAGACAGACATTGATATCAAATTATGATTATTAATTTATAGTATAAATGTTATTCTTTTAGACTAAGAATAATGCTATAGGAATGAAAAGTAAAGTTACTTTGTGTTTTCAGTACCGACAATCTTTAAAATGACTTTCATTTTAAAGATTGTCAGTTGACAAAAATCATGTTTTGGTGTGAAATCGTGATGGGTCGAATTTATGTTGTGTCCGTATATATATATTCTGTTTACCTTTAGCTCGCTACTTATTTCTTTTTTGTGTAGGGTTTATTAATGAACTCGATCATTATTGAACCTGCGACGAGTAGCCACGAGTATTTAAATTAACAGTCTCGGTCTAAATTAACAACAACCGTTGCACTTGGTTGCCATCAATATAATATACGAGTAGGATAGCACTATCACATTTTATTTTGTGTTCATTCCACCAAGACTTGATTAACTATAGTCAATGCTTACAAGAACTTGAATAACCTAGTACCAATTATGTTAATATTTTCTATTCCTTTGCGTGTATACAGCCGCATGAGACAGGAGCAGTGATTCAAGCAGTAAGTTTTATCGACTGGTCAATGACTCAACACGTTACAAATCATATTATTCCATATTACGTCTGACGAAGTGAGCTGACGTTGTTTGATGATGAGGAGCCTCAATCTTTCTCGTTATTCCCAAAAATACTCCAAGGCAATTGGAGAACAAATCTAAATAAATACTACTAACATGCCAGTCTATATATTACGACAGGAGGGTATGTTTATGTTTAAATTAATTAATTAATTTTACAATAAAGCTTCTAGCTAATAAAATGAGATTCACTAAATGTTAGATCATATGTTACGTTAGTATTAGTTATATCGTGCAATTGAGTCAATGGTGAAAGTCTTTCATTTGTTACAGGTGATTATTTTATAGGTACAAATTAATCTCCAAAGGGAAGTTAAGCTATTCTCTGATAGAAGATTCCATCGGATAGCAATCTCATCAATCTTAAAACGGAAAGTAACAACGGTTAACAGTTTACATAAATATTTTTTATATTACTTTTATCATACCACACTGTTCATAAATACGGCTCGCGGCTTTCTCATACATAAAAAATTAACGTGTCAGCACACGGAGTGTTACGTGAAAACGGTTATGTCAAATATATATCACTTTATTAGTTCCCTACCTAATCACGAAATATCGAAAACCACCCTGACCCTTGAGGACTATAATTTTGCAGAGAGATAGTAGGACAAATAAGGTAGGAACAGATTTTGCGACATTGATGGGAACGGATTTAGGTTTTTGGTAGATTATTGTAAAAGACCTCAGTCAGTGTGCTGCAATCTGGTTCTGGGAGTTTTATTTGACTTTTTGATATAGAAATTAGGTTGTATTTTTTTTAATCCAATACATAAGTAGGCTACGAAAAATGATCGGATGGGTGGCCCTGAATTTTTGTTTGAGTGTGTATTAACCCACCACAGGAAATATAAATATTTTTATTTTTAACAAGATAATTAGATGTATTATTTAAGAGTCTAAAAGTTCTATGTTATATTGTGTTCTATCTAGAAGTTACATTATATTCTAGAAGTATATGGTTTAGTTTTGTAATCAATTATGCCACCAAAACGAAACGCCAACGTTCGAGCGAAAGAACTTTGTCGGATCCCCTATTAATAATACATTCATAAAGTTACACATTATATAAGTTACAAATCATCAAGACTTTTCGTGTTCACTTAAATCTCCTTATGCCGTTTTCTTGTATTCTTAACACATTAATCTCCGCAACCGAAAATATGATCTCAAGTGTCCAAAGATAATCGCACATGACAACTTGATACAGTCATATACGATAAGTTATCGTAATATTGAGTATATAACACCTGGGTAACCGTTAAACTGTGTCATTTTTTCTGAATCCGAAGAGCGACAGCAAAATGATGAAACAGGCTGTTATTGTTCTGGCCGTCCTCGGGATCGCCTTCTCAGCTCCTCAGCCAAGGAAACAGTTCAGTGAGCACGTTTCGGAGTTCTTAAACATAATAGAAGAGGAGGCTGGTGATGAGATCTACAACTTGATGCAGCAATACTTAGAATTTGAAGAGTTCCGAACTGCGTTAGCCTACACGCGGAGCTTAGTGCTTCAGAGATCTGATTTACGAAATGGAAGATTTGCCCGAATTCAATGCAGTAAGTTTGTTGATTGTCTTGTTATAGTAAAAGTAATAAATATTGAAAGTTAATAAAGACATATGAAATTTACAATAAGTGATATAAATAATACCTATATCACTTTCGGGTAAGAACAGGTTCTGTAATGTATTGTAACTTGTGGTAACTTTTAAATTAATTCTGCCATAAGGAAAAAAAAACTTCGTAGTTTTAATTCGAGACTATAAATATTTAAAACGCTATATAACTTATTATCTTAGAAATTGAAGGTTACAATTTAAAAGTTTTAAGTTACAATTTAAATTAAAAAATCATATTTGTCCACAACCAGCAATAGCCTCTGGCTTCGATTAGGACTTGGTTTGCATTTTTGTTATAGTTATATTTAATCAGATATTTAAATTATAATCGTTTCGTAAATACACTCTTCAGTTCAGGGCTGTAATACATGCCCGGTTTTAAGTAACTTTAGTGGTACTTTAATTTTAAAGGGTTAGTAATTTAAAAAAGTAGGTAGTAATTTAATCCCAACTATAAGAATCACAGCCTTATTTCTCATTGCCTATACACAAATATCGCTAATATTACAAAGTTTGAACGAGTTAATATAGTTTTTTTCTTCTACAGGTACTCGACTTCTTAGAGAAAGACAATATTGACATTCACACCTTTATTGATTTGCTAAATGAGATTCTTGGTAAGTTCGGCATCAATTTAATAGCGACGATCGAAAACCAAGTATGTGCTTAGAAAAAACCGCAAATCCTAACCACATCCTTGGTATTAAATATCCTTGGTTTAGTTATAGCAGCCCCTCTTAGTTACGCTTTGTAGAATAAGATAAATAATACATTTTGGCCAATCTAAAAGATCTATTTTTTACTCATGATAACACTGTAAATTTTAAAGTTGGTTTATCTTGTGAAATAAATAATAAAATGATTCTGTGGTAAACTTTGATGATATCGTAATCATAATGTAGACAAAAATTATACTTTACTATTACTGGCACAACTAATTATTTCAGAGGACATTGAAAAGATGAAGAGGAACACACGACAGAGTGTCAGTGGCACTACTATGACTGATTTTATATATGACTCGATCGCAGTCTTCCCTACGGCGAAGCTGTCTGCTCTCTTCGACGAAAAGATGGCCAACGACGAAGCATTCAGCACAGCACTCATAAATCTCAGGAGCGAGGAGTTTAGTCAACTTGCCAATGCCCTTTTCGAAAACGAGATTTTCCGGCAAGAGATTCAGAGTCTCAGGGAAAATGGCGTAGAAATTGAGGTCCTTATGGATGAAGTTTTGGCCATTTTCGGACAGACTCTTCCATAAAAAAATTATAACTACTAAACAATACATGTCTGTATGTAAAGTATTCAACATAAGGATGATAAATATTCAATTTGAATAATATTGAAAGTTAATAAAGACGTATATGAAATTTACTAATTATTTTATTCGTCGTCTCCCATCGAAGTCATGGTATTTGTTGCTTAAACCAGGAATTTAAGAAAACCTATATAAAACCGAATAAAACCTACATCTATATTATTGTACAAATTGTATACAGATTTAAGATAATAATTGTATAAGTACTAGATTGAGATCCCCTGGGATCTTTAAATTGCTGGATACCCAATGCTAATTGGGTTCTTATAAATCTTGTACTTGGGGATTTTATTTTAAACCTTTTCCTTCATGATATAGTGGACAAACGAGCAGGTCGGTCAACTGAGGGTAAGTGATAACCGGCGCCCATGGACGGCTGATACTCAAGAGATACAAGTGCACATAAACTAAACTATTCCTTGTTCTTATGTTACACACTTTGAGTGCCCCTCCCTCCCAGAATTGGATTGGGGAATGGATCTGTAAAAAATCTTACAAAAGCATTGTTCGACACTGGTTTTTTTGAGCCCGTATCACTCCAATCGAGTTAGTTCATATTTATTTCAAACTTAACGCACTTTTGTACATCGGAGGACTTAATGCTCAAGTCATTCTCTTTTAGTCAACCTTTGGGTGGTGTAGAAATCTTATAAGGTAGGTGCACAGAGGGTACATATTATGACATGTAATTATTGAAAATATACGAGGTTCATACATATATAAACTTATACATGCACATACACACACATACAACACATCACATCATAAATACACATATATAAATGTACATATTATATTCGTACACATTGTACGTGTACGTTACGTACTATGTACATATTGTACCGGAATATTACTATGGACTGGATAGTTTTGTCATTTTATTAAGAAGGAGATCATTCACCTTCTTTTTAATAACCACAAAAATAAAGATAGCTTTTTGAAAAAAAGTGATGTACATGCCATAAATACCAGAAATAAAAATAAATTTGTTGTACCCGCCTCTAGGCTCCAAAAGATAAACAAGTCTTTTCGAGGTCAATGTGTCCGATTTTATAATAAAATCCCAAATAATATTCAGGAGTTGAGTATTAACAAATTTAAATCCGCAATAAAACGTGGCTTGTGCCAGAGGGCCTTTTTTTTTTTTTTTTTTTTTTTTTTTTTTTTTCCGTGCGGAAATCCCCTCGGATACCACCTGTCGGTGGCATGTCGGACTCGAACCGACTAAAACCGCACGCCTTCGCCGGGTACTAATAGCCGGGGAACCAGGTATACCCTAGAAAGGAAGGCCCTGGTGCCCCGACATACCTCGGGTCATCTACAGACGAGTAGACGACCCCCGCCCCGTGTGGGAACCCCATGTTCCCTGTGCTCCCTGAAAGCGAGCGCGCTTCGCAACGCGCTCGCCGCCACCCCGGCCTGCTTCTGCTAGGGTGACAGATGGCCTCACCTGTCACCCCCAGGCCTGCGCTTATGGAGGACGGAGGTCGTTCTGCGACCTCCGGCGCCTGAGTCGCCTGCGCTGCCTGGCCCGTGCCCGGGCCTGGCGGGCCGGGAGAGTTCTAAACCTCCCCCGGTCCCGCTCCGCCGTCTCCTTCGCGAGCATAACTTGCTCGCAGAAGGAGACGGCAGAGTTCCACGCACTCTCGCTCCGCACGATAGCCGCAATCAGGCTATCGAGCGAGAGAACTCCCACTCCGATGGCCGCCACGAGGTCTCGCCTCTGCTCAACCCACGCCGGGCACTCTGCCAGCGTGTGGAGAGCCGTGTCCACGGTCTGGCCATCGCAGTGGTGGCACTCAGGCGTTTGGCTCCTTGCGGATCAGACACAGGTGATCTCCGAAACATCCCTTCCCAGTGATCACCTGCGTCAATCGGTATGAGAGGGTCCCGTGACGCCTCTCGAGCCAATCCTCCATAACGGGTCTTACCGCCGCAATGACGGCGTGCCCGGCGCTCGGTTGCCCGAGTCGTTCCCTCCACTCCCCTATGATGACCTGGCGGAGTTGGGATTTCCGGTCATCGATTTCTCGAATCTCGGGGCATCGACCCAACTCCTGCGCCTCCTTGCGCCACTGATACAGTGCTGCAAGGGCTCTCGCCTCCAGGTCCCACGGTGGAGTTCCGGCCAGGAGACTCGCCGCCTCAAAGGAGATCGTGCGGTACCCCCTTATGATCCTGATGGCCAGCATTCGCTGCGGTCGCCGCAGTATCGCGACGTTGCTGGCCTTCAGGGCCCCCGCCCATACTGGGCACCCGTAAAGGGCCATGGACCGCACAACCCCCGAGTAGAGTCTCCGGCAGGAGTCATCGGGTCCCTTCATGTTGGGCAGCAGCCGCGCCAACGCACGCGCTGCCCCAACCAACTTGGGGACCAGACCTCGGAAATGATATCCGAAGTCCCATCGGCCATCGAGTACGAGCCCCAGATACCTGATCGAGGGCTCGATGCCGATGCGAGTGCCTCCTACCGTGAGGCTAGATCCCTCAGGCGGCTTCCTCCGAAGCCCGTGGAAGAACAGGGCCTCGGACTTGTGCAGAGCCACCTCGAGACCCAGCCGCCGGATACGCTCAACGACTTGGGCAACCCCGGCCGTGGCCCTCAGGGTTGCCTCGTGGTGCGTCTTGCCGCGCGCCGTCACGAGTGTGTCGTCCGCGTAGCACACGACGGCGACACCATCCAAGAAGGCACCACGAAGCACCCAGTCGTAGCCGATGTTCCACAAGAGTGGCCCTAACACCGACCCCTGCGGAACACCGCACGACATTTCACGCCTACCGAGACCGGTCCTACTGGGGTAGACGACGGCTCCCTCCGACAAATATGCCCCGACTATGCGGCGGAGGTAGAGAGGCACTTCGTGATACACGAGCGCCTCCCTGATGCAGCTCCAGGGCATAGTGTTGAACGCGTTGGCGATGTCCAAGGACACCGCCAACACCACTTCGCCCCCGGGAGACTGCTTCCTCCGCCAGAGCCTTCACGCGCATGATCGCATCCACGGTGGAGCGCCCCTGACGGAAACCGTACTGGTTGTCCGCCAGATCCGGCCCAACCATCACGAGATGCTTGACGAGGCGCCTTGCAATCACTCTTTCAAAGAGCTTGCACACCTCGTCAAGCAACACTATGGGCCGGTAGGCGGACGGTGAGTCCGCCGGGCGCCCCTCCTTTCGGATGAGGACCAGTTTCCCCGTCCTCCACAATTTCGGAAACTGGCCCCGCTCTAGGCATGCGCTGAAGAACCCTCGCAGTCGGGGCTCGAGAGCCTCGTCGACTAAGGCCAGGACCCACGCTCGGCCAGGAATGCCATCGGGTCCCGGGGCGGTGTTTTTGGCTTTAAGCCGTAACACCGCCACCCTTAGTTCCACCCCAGTGACCTCAGGCACGTCGTCGTCATCCACGTTAGGCGCCTCAAGCGCCGGAGGCGGAGCCATCTGTGGTGGAGTATGCTCCACCACTCGCGTTGGGAACAGGGAGCCAACGACCCTCTCAAGCAGCTCTGGCTGAAGACACCGTGTGAGCGGCGGGGCCCATGGGCGCATCTTGCCCCTAACCATACGGTAGGGGCGTCCCCACGGATCCCGCTCCAGTGTCTCCAGCATCTCGCGGCGGGCCTCGCTCTTGGCCCGCTTTATCGCTGCCTGAAGGGTCCTCTTGGCAACCCTGTAACCCGCTAACAGCTCCGCCTCTCTCGCTGCCGCATCTTCGGGGCGGCGACGCCTCCTGCGGAACCTGGACCACTGGCGGCGCGCGGTCACGCAGGCTTGACGCAGCCGTGCGATCTCCGGCGACCACCAGTAGACCTGGCGCCTCGCAGTATTGGGCTGAGCCCTAGGCATCGCCGCATCGCAGACGCGGGTCATGGCCTCCCGGAACCACTGTGCCTCATCATCGACGTCGACAGGCCTGTCCGGCGCAGGAGCCCAGGCCTGTACGATGGCGGCTTCCAGGAGGAGGTCGCGATCTAAGCGCTTGAGCGCCCAACGTGGTTCAGGTGGTGCCGGTCTGACCGGCGCGCCATCTGTAGGGGCGGAGACGTCAAACCGAATATATCGGTGATCCGAACCTGTCTCCCTCCCCGACAACGACGCGCCAGCCTTGGACACGACGCGCTAGCGAGGGGCATGCGAACGAGATGTCCACAATCGAACTACCCCTCGCCGTCACGAACGTGGCCACGGCCCCCCGGTTTAGGAGAACTAGGCCGAATCTTTCAGCCCAGTTCTCCAATGCCCTGCCCCTCGGGTTCGTGCGCAGGGAACCCCAAGCCTGCGACCAGGCGTTGAAGTCCCCCAGCACAAGAACCGGGTGGGGGCGACAGGCATCGACGACGACGGCCAGCTGAGCGAGCCATTGCTCGAACTCAGTTATGTTTCGGTTCGGCGTGAAATAAGCGGCCACGACCGCTATATCTCCAACTATCGCCGCTACACAGCCCCGTCCCCTTGCAACTACCGCAAGAGGTGGAGTGCCGGCTGCGGTACCGTGCACCAGGGCCGCCGTGCCGTCCAAGTCGGTCTCCCAGGCAGGCCCGAGAAACCGATGGACATATGGCTCGGCGATAGCGGCGATGTTGATGGACCACTGTGCCATGCTCTGGAGCAGAAGATCCTGAGCATCGGCACCGTGGCCTACGTTCACCTGGAGGATGCGGAGATGTGGATCCATCACTGGACTTCCATCCCCGCATCCCGCAGCGAGCTTTGCGGCTGTCCAGCGGCACTCTCCGTCTGGATCAGCGGCTCTGAGGCGGAAGGTCGGCCTCCCGGCTTCGGTCGCGATAGGGCACAGGCCTTACCACCAACCCGGTGGTCGGCAGGCTTGCCCCCCGCTGCGCACCTAAAGCAACGCAGCGGAGCGTTGCAGCCACCCGCCTTGTGACCGGGCTGGCCACAGCGGAAGCATCGGTCACCTACGGTGGCCTCCGCCGTGCAGTGCA